GTTCCTCTTTGCGCCGAGGAGGACTTTTCTCGTCAAAAAGACTGAAACATCCGTAATGGAAAAAATATCAAAAATGTCGACAAACAAAATAGTATTGTAGATTCAAATGGAGGAATAGACAGGTAACAAACTAATTACACTTTGGAATCAAGCTCAGGAAGGAGGCCAAAACTGATCGGTACAATAAGAAAAAATCCATGGTGCTACCTTCGTAACCCGCAAAAATTAGCGGGTTGGACATGAATCAACGAAGGAATGGCAGAAAGAAGGACTGAATGAGAATGACTTCAGAAAAAACTTCATGAAACCACGACTGTAAATCAAATAGAAAGGGGAGTTTCAGAAGTCATCAAAGGAAACGAAAAATTGTGGCAATAAATCAGGAATGCCAACACATACAATCATTAAATACTTCACGGTCCGACGAATCGTTGAATTATCAGCTTCATGAAACAACTAGAGTCTCAAGAGTAGCAATACTGCAAGGTGCTCAATAATAGACTATGCTGGACACTGGAGCGCGGGACCAATATATCTGGGGAATTCGTTCAGCCTGGCAATTTCAAGGTATGACCTCGAATTCCAACGTAAAATTTTCCAATTAACTGGTAGTTCCTCGGGTAACGGATTCTCACCTCAGTGAATTTCGCTGCATGCAGCTGAAAATGAGTAATAGAGTATTTATGAGATCACACTAGACTGCGCGAAACTTGCGATAATGCTGTCTAATGTGGAATTCAGGATTGTAAATTGCCTGTAGCCAGCCGCCCACTCCTCCTATCCCCGAGATCTACGGGTAAGGCTGTAAAAAGAATCTAACTAAATCCAGCTGCATTTCATAGAAACGAAAATATTCAGGCAAATGCGATATTAATTAAAAAAGACCTTAAACAGGTATCTCATACTCGCTGTATTACGGATAGCCAAAGAGGAAGAAAGCTGATCGAAATTATATTTTATAGCATCATCTGTGAAAAAGAGGCTACAGAATTTCTTAGGCAGTGTAGTAGAAAGACTATTAACAAGGAAGAGACGACGGTAAATCAATATCGTTAGATATCTAGAGAACGATGTGAACCTAAGATGTCATCAGTGGCGTAAGTCAAAACGAGTGAAAGTAGAAGAAAGTGACTTCTGCTGCGAAATAACTAGAAAGGCATAGGAGGAAAACGATAAAGAGGAGGGGAATGGGAAGCACACGGTAAAAGTGAATGAGAATTACACAGGAAGGAAGAAGAGAACAAGAAGAGAAAGAAGAGAGGGAGAGATAAGAGATAAAAGCAGAATGGCGATGAAAGAAGAAAAGCGAAGTAGATCAAAGGTTGAAGAAGAAGGGGAGAAAAAGAAAGAATGGGTAGAAGAGAAAATGAAAATCGACAAAACTCAAGAGAATGAGAAAAAGACAAGGAGAAAAAGAGAAGGGATAAAAAACAAAAAAACTAACAGAAGAGAAGATGGAGGTGGATAACGGTAAGAGGAAGAGAACAGTAAAGAAAACAATAAGAAGAGACGAACATTACAAAGAACCTCTGCCAGTCAAGAAAACGTAAACGTACTTCACATTATTGGCAGTCTGGTCGTGTTCGCCGCGGATCGGCGCATGAGTACTGCAGAACGCGG